TGACTTATTAAGCCCACGAAAGGAAGAAGAATCAATTTTCCCTTATGACTTTTCCTGATAACAAGCAGATATCAGATGAATTCAATAAAAGTGTTTCCACAATGTTATTAGATGTTTCCACTTGTGTTAGCAGGAAGTCTGTAAAGCTGAGTGACACATACGACGTGTCAGTTATATAGATATACAAGCAATGGCATCTGTGTCAAACCAGTCAAGGTCTTCCGTTTTGTTGCTTGAAATTAATATATTACCTCATGTTTCCACAGGTAAACACTTCACATCGATATTAATAATTGAATTTTAATATTATTACCAGTGAGGACTAAATTAAATGGCACACGTTGTTTTACAAGTTCATAGTCATCATTTTATATCAAAAGCAAGATTAAGGGGAAATACTTTGGCCATAGGATTCATTTAAGTAATAAAATTTATTAATAATGTTTGATACAAAATATTAATAATGCTTGAAATACTTGACTTTAGAGTGAGTACAAAGAAGAATGTGTAACCCTTACGCTTTCTTACTTGGTATGTCTGTCGTTGTAAATTCGTGGTTTCATAAACAACAAAAGAACAAAAATACTTTAAGAATTAAATGGTACTTCCAGGAATGATATCGCTAACGCCAAAGGTATAGCATTGTCTTTCTGAAGATTTGTGAACTGAATGATGTCCGTGAATCTTTTTCTCTGCTTGAACCAGTTCTTATTTTGCTGCAAGCCTGTTATTTCCTTATCGGGCCGGTAATTTTATAGACTCTCTCTCTCCCATATCATACTCTCTCTCTCTCTCTCTATATATATATATATATATATATATATATATATATATATAATATACAGATAATATATATATATATATATTTGTATATATATATATATATGGTACTTAGAAAGCGCTCAATATCAGTGATAGAACTAACATACATAGGTGTATGTATGTGAGTTTGTATCCCTAGGTTTCACGCTTATGCGATCCTCACAGTTTGTCTGAGGATCGCATAAGCGTGAAACGTAGAGTTACAAACTCACGTTCATACAACTATATATATATATATATATATATATATATATATATATATATATATATATATATAGTATATATATATATAGTGATTTACTCTATACGAAATACGCCAGCGGCTCGGAGAACTTAATTCATACTTGAAGAGTAATCGGTAATAGCAGTAAGCGCCGCTGTTTTTTTTTTTTTTTTAAACTGGATATATATATATATATATATATATATATATATATATATATATATATATATATGGTGTTTGAAAAGTAACTGCCCATATAAAAATACTTATTTATTCATAAGCAGAAATGGATATGAACGGAATCCAATATAATCCAATATGGGAACCAGATTTAGCTACCAGCTTATCGTGCCATCCAGGATACCAGTCAACTCATTTCACCAGAAACCCTTTTAGTATGGAAGGCATAACTTTTTTATTCGCCCTTCACTTCATCCAAATCTTGGTTTGGTATAGTAGACTCACTCCACCTTCTCCCACAAAAAAGTCACATGGTGATAACTAAGGATTTCTGGCTGGCCACTCATACATAGGGAGCTAATATTCCATCACCTTCTCTATGTTATTTTTAAGCATTTCACTCCAAGCAAGATGGGAGTGCCATTAGCACACAAGGGGTTACAGAGAGTGAGAGTAATAGGGTGTTTGAGGAAAGGATTAAGAGAAGGCCAAGTATCAAGTTCAGAGAGTCAGAAGATGTCGATTGACACTACATTTGAATATTTGAAGATTACAACTATCAGGTAAGCAAGGAAGAGGAAGGGAGTTCCGCTGTCGGGAAGTGCGAGAGAAGAAGTTGTTAGAGTAGAAGAGGCTGTTACATTTAACTGTTTCGACACTGGAAGGGTGGGATCATTAGGCCAACCTAGTAGCACGCTTAAATTCATGCATTTGCGGTGTCAGTATAGGTAGCTCGTCAGATTAGTTGCCATGAAAATATTTCTAGAAAAAGACGGAGGGAAGCCACATCACGTCCGTGAGAAAGTAACTGTAGCCGAGATGCCAGGTTAGGACCTATCACATTGCATATCCGTCTTTGGATTTTGTAGAGAACCTAGAGATGGACAGCGAGGGCACCAGATCATATGTAGCAATACTATTCAAGGACGAATGGTATATATATATATGTATATGTTTGTGTGTGTGTTTGTGTGTGTATGTATATATATATGTGTGTGTGTGTGTATATATATATATGTGTGTGTGTGTGTGTTTTTATATATATATATATATATATATATATATATGTGTGTATATATATATATATATATATATATATATATATATATATATATATATATATATATATATATATATATATATATATAAAAAAAAGAAGAAGAATTAAGCAATGGAACGCAATCAATCTACTCCACTAAACAACTGTATTTAAAATTCGGTTCACCAAATTCACATTTCGGCCGTCTACACATTACGCGATATCGAAATCCATTCCCACTGAATAATTGATTGATTGATTCGTTTTTATGGCTAATCAACAATTTGCAAATTATTTAAAACTAGAAAACATTAGTTTGTGAGATTTTTTTGGGTGGGGTGGCGGTGGAGATAATAATGAATTAGTAATACAAGTTTTACTAATTAACTCTTAACTAGGGGACAAGAGGTTAATCAGTACCTTCCGCAACGATATTTCCACGTAAGTGAATATAGCTAACCCAACAGGAATTAGAACTTTCTGTCCGATTAAAAATTCCGAGCCATTATAATTTACGCCAACAGGACATTCAATCTTACAACACCTTATCAATTTGGTACTGAGCAGTCCTCGGTGACAATACGGGAATGGATGCTTCAAAGGTATAGATCTTTAATACCTCTTTTATCCATTATGATTTCGTCCAGTAGTGGAATATAAAGAAATATTAATAAAAGACATCAATAAAAGTTTTAATTCGAAAGTCCCTGTAAGCTACTCGAGTCGATATATTCTTGGTGAAAGCCGGAAGGTACAATGACTGAGACATTGTAATAACAACAAAGAAAATAGTCCGAATGTAAATGTTTTAAATAATATCATTAACAAATTGAGTTTGACAATTTTAATATTTTCATCCTCTGGCACTATCAAGTATTGTGAACGGACTATTGTTTGAAATTTCTTTGAATTCCTTTAGATTTACTTACAAACCGTCACGTGTACATAAGAGGATATATTGTTCTCATTCTGCTCTCCATATCTAAGGACATATCACTCGGGTTATTTTTTTTCAGTTATTGAAATAGAATATGTATTCTTTTGATGAAATCTACCGCAAGGAAAGTTGATCTCTGTGTCGCGCCAGAAAGTTTTTCTCGCTTGAATCCATCCTTCAAATCTATAAATCAACCATTCGCCCTTGCATGCAATACTGCTGTCATATATGGTCTGGAGACCCCGCTGTTCGTCTTGGGGTTCTCGACAGTATCCTGAGACAGGTATGCAATGTGATAGGTCCGAATCTGGCATCTCGTCAACAGTCACTCTCTCCCAGACGTTGCGGTATCCCTCTGTCTTTTCTACAAGTATTTTCACGGCAGCAGCTACAATGAGCTACTTTTGCTAGTTCCCAAACTGCATGAATTTAAGCGAGCTACTAAGTTGTCAATTCGGTCGTACACTTGAACTGTCGAAACGATTAAATTTAGCATTTCTTCTACTCCAACAGCTACTTATCTCGCAATTACCGCCTGTGGAACTACCTTCCTCTTACATGCCTATAATCTTCAAATATTCAAATGTAATGTCAATCGACATTTTCTGAGGCTTTGATCTAGTTCCCCGTCCTTTTCTTTATCCTTTCCTCGAGCACGCCTCTTTTCTCTTGGTCTCCGTATCTGTAACCCCTTGCGTGCTCGTGGCACTTCCTCCTTGCTTGTGGTGAAATGCTTAAAAAATTCAGTTTGTCGATCAGGTTTCATTGACGTATTTTAGTAAAGATATTTTGTAGAGAGGTTGCTTTGGTTTATTTTGTTATATCAAGCTCAGTGGGTTATTTATTGCCGACAAGATTTTTTAGGTTAGGTTCGTATGAATAGAATATGTATTCTTTTTAAGAAATCAGCGTGTGCATCAGCTTTCATTGACACATTTTTGTAAAGACTTTTTTTTTATCGAGAATTAATGTATTGCTGGTAATTTTTTCAGAAATATATTGCTGATATTTTTTCTATAAAAATCTTTCTTTTTATACTTTGATAGTGTTCTGTCCCCAGTTTGGGGTTAATTATTTGCCCTTAGCTGGGACCCTAACAGGTACTACCACCTCGTTTCAAATTTCACCTGAGAACAACGGCGCTTATAGAGTTATATATAGCTCCTCAAAACCTTCCGATGAGAGACCTTGCTGCCGGATGTAGTTTATCGTCATCCCAAGAAAAGATTGTGTATATCTCTACGTCCAGAAAAGTTTGAATCCTCCCAACCCTATTTCTGTAAGAAAGATAAATATCTGTAAATATTAAAAACGAAATGATAAAAATATAATCGCTGTAATTTGAATAAAAGGTAAAGTTTAAGTTAGAAATTCCCTGAAGGTTTCCCGGATCGACAGGTCGGAAAACATAACAACCAAAAGATTGTGATCGTAACAACAAAGACAACGATATTCGATCTGTTGTAAATAATTTAAGTATTTAATCAAACAGTTTCTCTTTACTTAACTTCATCTTGGAAAGTTTCATTGGTTGCGAGTGCAAAAGAATTTCAATGTAAAAGACGATGATGAAACAAAGCGAATAATTTTTTAAAGCAGGTTCAAGCTTATTTTATCTTGAATGCATTTTGAATCCATTCGTGTAATCTAACAATGACGTATCTTTGTTGATACTTCATTATCATATGAACAGTCTTGAATGGAAATACATAAAATCTAGACTCTGAAAGTTCAACTTAGCAGATGAACAATAGCGATGGTGATCTATTCTAAAAGTTTAAGTATCACACCAATTTTCGCTAATAGAATTTATCTGATACGCAGCTAATCGGATCGCAAGATAGATAGATAGATAGATAGATAGATAGACAGATAGATATAGTACTGCGCAGAAGAAGCCATAAGATAATATTAAGTGTAAGGGTTTACTTGCTTTTGCATATCTTAATTTTTAATTAATATTTTTATTCCAGCGAGATAAAAACTTTTGAAAGTGGTTGTAATTTGCTTAATAAAATTTATCTTAGTGAATATACAGTTTAATAAGGATTTGATGATTTTCTGGAAAAAAGAGATAATTTAAAAAATACATTAGCGTTTCACTAACTTTTGCGTAGATAGATAGATAGATAGATAGATAGATAGATAGATAGAGATAAATATGTGTGTACAGATTGACATAGATATAGATAGATATAGATAGATATGTACAGATTGGGATAGATAGATAGATAGATAGATAGATAGATAGATAGATAGATAGATATGAATTGAATGAAATAGATAGATAGATAGATAGATAGATAGATAGATAGATAGATAGAAAGAAAGAAAAATAGGGACATAGAGAGAGACAGAAGAAGAGACTGAAATTGATTCATATAGAAGGAGATTGTGTGATGAAGAGACTGAGATAAATAGATAGATAGATACAAAGATATGAACAGAATGAGATAGATAGATAGATAGATATGGAAAGACGGACATAGAGAGAGAGAGAGAGAGAGAGAGAGAGAGAGAGAGAGAGAAGAACCTGAGATATATTCATATATAGAGAGATTGTGAGATGAAGAGATATATATATATATATATATATATATATATATATATATATATATATATATATATATATATATATACAGAGAGAGAGAGAGATAGATAGATGTCAGCTCACCCACAAGCAGCCTTTTGTGAGACCCTTCTCCTAGTGGTTCCTTTAGCCTTCCCAAAAGTTCGACCGTATCATTGACCACTAGCTCAGACATGATATTCTCAACACGTAGAGAATGTCTGCTGCTTTGAGTCCTAGGTAAACATCATGATTTCACTTCAGACGGTATGTAATTCCTTCCACGTTTAAATTTCTTTTCTCTCTTCCTTAACAATGCAGATGGTAAACACTTTTCTGCGTGCTTATTATCCACCTGATTGCCAGGATAGTCTCCTTAGGAGTTACTTTAAGCTTTGGGTCCATATTAGCAAAGGCAAAATTTAAGAGCTACTCTATGGACATTTGGTTTATACGATCTGGGCCGTGCGGTAGTATCCAGTGGGTTCTCCTCCCAACCTTGATGCTACGTAGAGTTTCGGATTTTTTTTGTGGCAATTAACAAGATAGATTTTACATGTATCACTTGGGGTGTTGCTGTTTTGCCGCAGAATTTCTTCGCCTCCTATATCAATATGACGAAATCTATCACACACACACGAGTTAGAACCAGTTAACCTATGCAAAAAATGAACTACAGCTTTCTAACAAACATAAGGCGCCGATGTTCCAGTTATCTTGAGGCTGAACTACATCTTCAAGAAAGTAACCCTAACTTCACATTCCAATCAGAAACTGAACCAACCAAGCCTATTCCAGTTCAGGAATAAACAATCTCGAGGTATTCGCTTCTACTCATAAAAGATGACCCTCAAAAGCGAAAAGCTTAAATCCTTATCCATGGGCTTTCACGTAGTCTCCGTTCATAGTATGCCCTTTGCCTTCAGAGGATGATAATGGTAGAACATTTGACATAGGAACATTGATCATATTATCTCAGATTACTATTCAGCTAACATTCACCGTAATGTTTGGTTAAAACACACATAACCAAGGAAAAAGACAAATACTGTCAAAACTTCTCCATCTGAACCAGATCGAGGATAAGCCTAGTTTTGGTCCGATATAGATGGACATTCTGTCGACATCCTAGAACTCTTCCACATCTTCTGTCATGAACAATGTTCCTCTGAAGTGTTAAACCCTTTGGTAAATCAGACAACTTCCTGGTCAGTTAAAACAATGATGCTAAACCGATGACCTTCACCTATATAACATTTCATAAGATAATCTACTGACACAAAAATGCTGACTGGAATAGATTTTACATGACGGAAGTTCTGCTCGTCGCATCCGTCAGGACTTCTGGAACAGACTCCCTTTACTTAGTGTAGGTTCCATTTTGGATGGAATTTTCTCTCCTTAATACAAATTACGATCAAATATCGAATAACCAGTCTTGGTTCATGCCATCTCTACTAGAGGAAACGGTTTGTTAAAACCCCTATTACATTAAGAACCGTTCAAGAGATTCCTGGAAAATGCAGAAGCAGCCAAAGCTAAGGTTGAAATCAAAACATTTGGCTCCTGTCCGTTCTGGATAATTACAAATAACATTCTTAATAGAGGAAAACCGCCAGTCCCTTCAGTCATAAATGGCCCTGAGGTTATCTCATTCGCATCAGATAAGGGTAAAATCTTTCCAATGAAATTTGGCTCTAACTCGAGCTGAACGACAAGGCCGCACCCCACCTTACTTCAACCCTCTCACGGGACAAACTTCGCTATTTCTCTGTTTCGGTTTGGAAGGTTTCCAGGCATATAATAAAAACTTAGTTCTACGTAAGCTAATGGTCCGGATAAAATTTCTTTAGTTATTTTTAAGGACATTAGCCGAGAGCTATCTTCAATCTTGGCAAAATTGCTTAGCAGCTTCTTGATGGCGAACTGTTTTCCGGGTTTCTGAAAGGTATCAGCTGTATGCCTAGTTTACCAGAATGCGAGAGAGCGATTCCCCACCACAATATAGCGCTACATCAGCATCGTCTGCAAACATTTTGAAGCTGTTATCATCAAGGTTGTTGCAATTACCTCCAGAGAAACAAAGATCTGAACGACAGTGTGAATTTCTCTCATAGAGATCCACTGATGATGAATTAACTGTCATTACGCATAGTATCACTCAAACAAGTGTTAATAAATTCCTCACGGCAGCGATCGTCTAAGACATTTCTGTCGCTTTTCTCTGTCTTTTCTACAAATACTTTCACAGTAACTGCTCTGGTGGGCTACGTTTCTGGTTCCCAAAATGCATGAATTTAAACGTGCTACTAGGTTGGTATATCAGCCTCACAATTTCACTGTGGAAACGGTTAACTGTAACCGTCTCTTCTACTCCAAAAGCTTCATGTCTCACACTTCCCGTCTGTGGAACTCCCTTCCTCTTACTTGCTTCCCTGATAGCTATAATCTCCAAATATTCAAATGCAATGTCAATCGACACCTCCAGATGCCTTGATCTATTCCCCGCCTTTCTCTTCTTCCTTTCCTCTGTCACGCCTCTATAATCTTACTCCCACTCTCTGTAACCCCCAGTGTGCTAGTGGTACTGCCGCCTTGCTTGGGGTGAAATGCTTAAAAAAACAAAGACAAAAAAAAGAAAAAAACACTCCAGTTATGACATTTTAAAAGGAGTATTTTCGATCATCATGTTCTTTCTATCAAATAGGTTGGTAAAGTTTTTGTTAATGGCGAATCCTTTAAGCCAATGAAATCAACGCAAGATTCCTCCAAGCTCTCCACTTTTTCTGCTATATATTATTGATCTGTCTAAGAAAATTCTGAAAACATCAGTAAATATATATATAAAGACGATACCATGGTTTATGAGAGCACCACCAAAAGTCTAGATAAACAGAGACTTGAAGCTGATATTTCCTTTAACATTGAGCACACAGCTAAGTTGGGGAGGAAGTAGCTTTTTATATTTAATTCTCCCAAACCAAGACAGTAGTGTTTTTTTCCAAACCGAAGAAATACTGAGTTTTTCTCATGATGAATGGTTGTACACTTCATGAGAGTCCTTAGCTGGAGCATCTATTTGAATTTAAGTTCACTCTAAACTTCAAGTATATGAGATCACTCGCTAACAAATCTGAAAAAAATATTCGGTTCCTTGAACAGCTCGTACCAGACACGCGCATGCGCGCGCGCGCGCACACACACGCACACACACATTTACGCACGCGTGGACTCTCCCAGTTATAAATAGGAGCAGGTATTGCCTTTTGGAGAGAGAAGTTTCCTGCAGTCAGCCCTGACAGTCGGACCGAACAAACCAGACCAGACTAAAACTGGAGTATTTCTGCCAAATGCTCACTGTCACTATACAAATTATGAATATATAATCATTCTCAAACATGTTTATGTAGTCTCCTTTTGGTGAAGTTGTAGTTTTTGAAGCTCCAACGTTGAACAGATGATAACAGACGTAGACGAAACAATGATCTTCCTTCGTCAAACCTCTTAGCTAATTACTAATATTTTTACACATCATTTTGTTATATAACATATAACAACAATTAAAAATATGTTACAATCGCAATGGCAATATTGCCAGCAAGTAAGTAATAAACTGTATTGAGAAATAATCAAAATGCAAGCGGTCTCATTCTAAACTCGTTGGCCATTCGAATGTTGACAAACAATTTTTTGTTAATTAATCAATATATAATACCCAATCAAATAATTAGCTTACAAATTGGTGTAACCTACAAAGGATTTCTGAATGAGGAATAACCAAAATGGAGGTTGGCAATGAAATGGTAATCTTTATAACATCAACAAAACACAATACTCGCCAGCGGTGTGAAGTAGGCAAACCACTACTCATGGGGGACTATTTAGACAGCATATTGCCCCCCATTTACAATAGCGTCCAACGTAATTATGACAATTGGGACATACACATTACTGTTCATAGGTACGGTATATAACACAAACAAATATATACTGATGGCTATAAGGTATCCAACTGTGTACATATCATTACAAAAATATGTTTTGTATGTTGTCTGTGCCGAAAGCTTTTTTCTCCATCTGTTTATTCTTATTATAAATTTATTCCACAACACTTTCTCACTCATTGCAATTCGAAGCTTAATACGACAGCAAATGTAAAAATAATTATATGAGGAAATTTTAATATATTGCTCTTTTGATAATGGCGATAAATCTCCATAGCAAAGATAATATTATGAGTATTAATGTTTTAAACTCCTGTGGATGGATAGTGGAACGGTAGAAGAAGAAGCCTTAGAATGTAAAACTGCTAAGGGCTACAAAGTAGTGGAGAGCCACGATCGCTTAAGTTCTGAAAGGACATGACACATAGAAAAGTTTTGAGAAAAAAAAAAAAAAAAACTTGCAAAAAGTCCAAATACCAGATAATGCCACCCTGGATGAACTTTGAACTTTTCAGCACTCGCTATGAATAAAAATACTTTAAAAAAAAATGAATGAATATGTAAATGAAAAGCAAAGTAAAAATTTAAGTTATAACTTATAAAGTAAAAGGTATGTGTAACGGAGGAAGTCTAAATAATTACAAAAAGAAAAGAAAAAAGAAAAGGACAAACAAAGAAAGTGACAAAGAAAGGAAAGCAGAAAGGAAAAAGAAAAGGAAAAATAATTGAAAAAATAAAAAAAAGAAAGCAGAACTGTAAAACATAAAGGAAAAAGAACAGAAAAAAAGGAAAGAAGAAAGGAAAAAAGAAAAAGAAAAAGAAAGGGAAAATAAAAGGAAAAAACGAAAGGAAAAAACGGAAGGAAACGGAAAGAAAAAAGAAAAGGAAAAATAAAAGGAAAAATAAAAGAAAAAATAAACGAAAAAGATGAAAGAAAAATAAATGATAAAAAAGAAAGGAAAAAAGAAAGGGAAAATGAAAAGAAAAAATAAAATAAAAAAAAAGAGGAAAAAGAATAGAAAAGAGAAATCCAGGAAAGTAATTGAATTCGATTGGATTACAGAAGATGTAAATTAAATGTGTCGGGAATATTTATTCTTTAGTAGTTTTATCAAGAGGGCAAGAAATTTACATTTCTTTTCAAAAACAGTTTCGGGAAATTTGTTGTTGAAGATGTTAAATGTGTGTTTATTCTGTAATTTGATTGTATTTAGTTTAAGACGATCTTTATTTTCTCTTTAATTTTTTCCTTCTAAATCAAACTTAATTGAATTTCTTTACTTGTTGACAAATTTTCCAATCAGTATGACTTTTCTTATTGTCGATATTTCAAACGTGATCACAGTAAGAGACGCCATGAATAAACACTATTCAAATAAAACGTCTCTTTTTGTTTCTTACTCGAGCACATTTGCAAGCCATTTTGAATGTTCCAGAAATAAGAAAAAACATGCTTAATGCTTAAGTCCGGTTCACACTCCTCTCCTGTCTTTTGAATAGGAGTAGAGGCTTATTCAATTGTATAGGATTGGGTCTCCGATTCATTCGAAAGCCTTCTAATTCCATTTCACTCCTAATAGCTCCTTGTGTCTTAGTGGTATTATCGCATTTGCTTGATAACGAAATGTAATAAATCTTTCACTTGGTTTCCTAGAGGAACAAAAATGGTAAAAATTTACATCAAATACTTGCTAAGCAAGATAGAAAAGAAAACACAGTGCAAGAGATTACCGGTAAGGGATTGCATTTTGTATCTCTAAATTATATTTTACCTAATGAAAAGATAATTACCCACAAAAATTTAAATAAACTTTGCAATATATAATTCCTGGTGACTAATAATAATAATAAAAAAAACAACATTAAATACTTACATATACTTCCGGGTCCGAAATAGAGACCTGAGGTCAGAAATGACTTCATGGAATTTTTATTTTCCACTGATCATTTTTGTAAAACAAAAAAATAAATAAGACCATAGTCATCTTACCTAGATGAAGCTCTTTGTGATATGTGAGCTGGACTTTTGAGTACAATCTTTTGTATTTCTTAAACCATTTGCTACAAGGTATCCCTTCACTGATTCTATCGGAACTGTTTACGATCAAACTGCACTTATTGATGTCTTCATGTTCTACATTATTGAGATTTTCACTTCAAGGTCCCTGTATTTTGATATATTTTTTAAATCTTCAAAGATGCATTAAAATCTGCAGGAACTGCAATGTTAATAGGGAGGCACGTTCTGTTCTTATGATCATTGATCACGCTGTCTGAGCGATTAGCTTTTATTGTTCTGTCTGTGTGTATTGTAAAGTCACATAAAATTGTTACATGCTTGTTATGGTTTTGTTACGGCCAGAAATAAAGACACAAGAGGGGGATTGAGTTAAACAAATACATTAACAGAAACAGCAATGCAAACATATACAAACGAGAGTGTTACAACAAGAATGTTCGGTGCGACTGTCAGAGCTGACTGCAGGAAAATTCTCTCTACAAAAGGCAGTACCTGGGAGAGTTCATGCGTGCGCGGGTAAATTACCATAACAAGGCCCTATCTCCGTAACCGGGTCTAATTGGTGTTCGTCCCAGCTTCTTGCAGTTTCATCTCCGTAAATGTTGCATATTTTCAAATCAGATATTGGCCCACTCCATGATGATGGTTTTGTGTTCAGTTGGTGCTAAACTGTATTGCACCATAGGGAGAGCCAAAGTATTTATGGCTGATATGCTGATTTCAACGCCTGTAATAATCTTTTCTTCATTTGGGCATGCTGTATTCAATCTCCTTAGGTATTTGTAGGCTTCTTCTTGTTTTTGTTCCCTAATCTTTGCGACAAATTCTAAATCTACTGAGTACGTTTCTGTAATTCTCCATTTCTTGAAGGTTACTTTCTTTTTTTACTTTATATCTGTAGTTATTAATGCTTAGTCCGTGCGTAAGTGTGATTAATGACATACAGAACAGGTTTGGTTTGGTTTGGTTTATTTTGTTTACGGCATATCAACGTCAATGGGTTATTAATACCGACAACATTTTTAGGATAGATTCGTATGAATGGATTATGCATTCTTTGGTTTAGAATGGTTTGGTTTATTTTGTTTTACGGCATATCAACCTCAATGGGTTATTTAATACTGACAACATGTTTTATTGCTGGTAATATTTTGTTTTGTCAAAAATTTGTTTCTGGTAATATATTTCCTTCAAAATTGTATTGCTGGTAATAACTTTTTCAAAAAGTATTGCTGGTAATAGTTAACTATTTCCTATAGCTGGGACCCTAACAGGTGCTACCACTCCGGGTCAGGTTCGACATGGGAACACCAGCACTTAAGAGATGGTTCAACGCTCCTCAAAACCTCCTGATCAGAGGCCTTGCTGCTGGACGTAGTTTGACGTCTTACCTAGGACGCGGATGCAGGACAGGAGTGACAGGGAGTCCCCTTGAAAGATTCCTCGTCGTATTTTAAAACAATTAGAAGTGACATTACCTTTGGTGTTATTTATGTATATTGTGATTTTCCATAGTTCCATGCTATAATTAATGACATTTATTTTCACCGATAAGACTGTACATTTCCAAAGCGTCAACGATGCAAGAGTGTGGCATACTATCAAATGCTTCACGGCAGTCTGTCCCTTCTGTTCCACGGAAAGAATCTTGTTTGCATCGAGAAGAAAGTAAGTACAGTTAGTTAGGACAGACGAGATTTATTTATATGTGGTGGGCAGACATGTTATAGGCCTATAATTTTTTGAATAATCTGTTTCACCCGTTTTTGGTGGGAGAAATGTAATACCCTCATTGATCCATTCTGGAATTTTACTGAGGTTATTAAGTAACATTGACAAAGCTTGAGCAAGATTTGTATGGAGTGATAACAGATGATAGAGTCAAAAGTTGGGCACCTTTCACTTACTGGCGATTTCCATTTTGGGGATTTTGTTAGAAATTGCATAACATTCTCTGTTATATTTTCCCATTCTTACACAGGTTTACCGTTTGACCTAGTCCGCGTCTAATTCCATTTGGAAGATCCAAACATTCTCACACGAATTTTAGACTTATTCAGTAGACGGTGCCTTTTTGAATTTGTTGTAACTTAGGGAAGGTTACTGAATAGAATAATCAAACGTAAGTTGGTAATGAACCATAATACTTATCACAAGAACAACATATAGATTCGCCAGCGGCGCGCAGAAGCAGTCAACTGCTAGAAGTGAGTGAAGTGAATTCCACAATGAATCTCCAATTGCAGGATATATAGCAACCGCCCCACGCGTTTAGGTGTGGCACAAGGCCGAATTTAATATTAGATAACCGAGCCCGTAAGCTCAGCTAAAAATTCGCCGGGGTCGGGTAGCTGTTTCCCGAGACGAGACTCTGCCCTTCGACTCGTCTGGGGATCCTCTCTGCCCGGAGGCAGAGAGTTTGACTAGCACAGCCTGAGACGAATCTACAATTACCATCCAACATACAGAATTTACTACTGTATTTATGTGAATGAGAACATACCCATTATCGTCCATTATAAATTTTTGAAGGAAAAAATATTACCAGAAATAGATTTTCTCAAGAATAAATATTGCCAGAGATAAATTTTTGAAAGGAAAATATTAATAGCAATATATTTTTCAATGAAAAATATTACCAGCAATACATTTTTGAAAAGAAAAAATAATACAAGCTATACATTTTTTTTTCAAAAAATATTACCAGAAATAGATTTTTGGAAACAAAAATATTATCTGCAATAAAAGATTCTGTCGGCAATAAATAACCCACTGATGTTGATATGCCGTAAAACAAACCAAACCAAACCAAAATTCCTTTTGCCTTTTCAGAAATAATAGGTTTTTTCTACGCAATCTGCCATGATGATCGGTATCATTCAGATACGTCACACTGTATATGTATGTCCATAAAATCCGGTATCACCAGGGTGTCGTGGAGAACCACAGATGTCAGGGAAGGATTCGTCTGGGCTTGCCAAATTAGATGTCTACTTGCTCTCATTAGTTATTTTTCGAGGTGGACCAGTTCTTGATTGTAGGCCGTCACACCAAAGGCCTTCCATTCATAAATAATCTGTCGCAAGATAGAGACATGCATTCCGAATCGTTGTGATAGCTTTCTATTGTCTTCTCCATCATGATAAGTCTCAACAATGCGATTGTTAAAGCTTTGGGAAATTCTTTTGTTATTGGCATATTTTATTTTTTTAAATTTAGTCTCTTTTGCATAAACAATGAGTTATGAAGTTTGATTGCAGTCTACGTAGCTTTCCAAATAATGAACACGAGTCATTTTGCCTCTTACACTTGCACAAATAATTATTCGCGCTGGAAACCATGTAAGACAAAAATACAAAGTGTAAATGTAGGGTTTTTTTGTCGATTATATGGAAAAAAGAGACATTTTTAAAAATTTATTATCTCAGCTGTTTACTTATTTGTGCGCAGCCCTGTATACATACATATATATTTCTGTATTCCTCAAAATATATTGTTACTTTGCTTTCAAAACCTATTAATGTTAGTGGCTCTATTTTTTTACGATACTTCATTATCAATTTCCAATATTTAAAAGAAAGTCTTTCATTTATTTAAATTTCACATAAATAAAAAAATCATACAGTGATAGATGCCTATTTGAATACATTTGCGAACAGCTGAGTTTTTTTTTAATTTATTAGATTATGTCTTCTAACTTAAGTACAGTCCATAATATTTCAGTTTCTGCTGTCGTATCGAATTTACCTTGGTTCCATTGCTTCACACTCAAAGAAATCGTTCATATATATATATATATATATATATATATATATATATATATATATATATGTGTGTGTGTGTGTGTGTGTGTGTGTGTGTGTGTGTGTGTGTGCGTGTGCGTGGGCGTGTGTCTGTGTGACTCATGTGGGAGAATTTGTCTCTCCATGGCTGGACTAGTGATTCATTTGCGTAGGCATGGCGACCGTATACCTAATGCACCCAATCCCCATGTATGTGTTTTCTGTAGTAGAGTATTTAAAGCACTGTCTGGACCCAAGAGTGATATCCGTGAGCTCAATCTCTCAGGTGCTTGTCGGTGATATTTGTATCAAAATGTGTCTTAGTCGTGTGCGAGTTGACAGCCATGATATATTTATATATATATATATATATATATATATATATATATATATAGACAAATATACGTATATATAAACATACATATATACACATATACATATATACATACACATGCTGATATTTACAAATATATATATATATATATATATATATATATATATATAAAAAATGCCTTTAATATATATATATATATATATATATATATATATATATATATATATATATATATATATATATTACAGTATACGATGGGTAAATTGTCGGTATTTTATATTTTAATTTTGCGAATGCCTGTTGTTTGTTTTTGTTTATTTTTGTCGATACACAGTATTGTAGGGTCAGTTGGGCATCGGCTGTAATAAAAATAACACCGTGACGCAAATCACATCGCCATAAATTTGGATATCGCATGTTATACTACTTGGCATTCGCACCAGAAGCTCCAATACGAACATCTTAGAATATTTGGATGTCAATCTGAGGAGAATGCATAGGATTTGGAAAGAGTTGGATTAATCTAATGGAGATTACGAAGGTACGACAGCTCGTGAAAGTCACATTGATCGAATTTGTTGGCGAGGGCCTTAGACCCAACATGAAGATTTATATCAGGTATCTTGAGGAGGTAGTGTTGCCATGGGATAAGAGGGTGGCTGCTGGCAAGCCTGTGTCTGGCAACAGGACTCTGCACCGTCCCACACAAGAGAGGAGAATACTGTCATGTCTGTCAGAGAATTTCTGCGACCGCATCATCCCTTACATCTGACCACCAAACTCTACAGACTGCAACATATTTGATTATTATGTGTGGGAAGCAGTTTAGCGAAAAGCCAACAAAACTCCTTGCATCACCAAAGATGAAGGGAAGGCAAGGATTGTGGCAATATTCAACAACTTAAACAAGGAAACCGTGCAGAAGAGTTGCAGGAGATTCCCAAGAAATCTGGAGGTCGTGGTTGAAGTCAATGTCAATTTTACTGAAAAAAAGTACTCTTTAATATTTCAAGATATTGTTGTGTAATTTTGGTAAATATATCTGTTAAAATGAGAAGTCAGTGTTAATTTCATTGTTGCGTAATTTTGACGAAAATTTATATATATATGTGTGTGTGTGTTTGCTCGCGTGTGTGTGGTGTATTTGTACCTATAGATAATCTGTTGATATGTGTATATGATAATTTAATGGTACTACAAGATGCAGCTTCATGATTACCATTTCATTTCACTGTTGCCTGTGTAATTTTTGTACAATAAAGGTAAGAAAAATGTTGCAGCTCAATAATTTTTCTTAAAGTAGAACGATATACCCTTCGTAAATAGATTAACGAATACAGTTTATACTCCACGAACATATTTATGAACACTTTTATCCCTAAGAAATATATTAAATATTACTTACTGGTAATAAAGCTACTGTTTTAAGTTAACTCGTAACGTTTAAGTATGTATCTGGAATATTTCTGGTGGGAAATAAGCATTTCGTCGATTTTAATGATAATAATGACTGTTTCAGTCCATAAAGTTATTCTGGATGACCAAATTTTCTGTAAAATATGGCTTATTCTATAAAATGATAGATAATTTCATAAGTATCAGCTGTTAATTACTTTGGATGGATAATATTGAGATATAACATGGAAATGCACTCATGACTGCATCCAATCTACTATATAAAGAATAATTAATTTTGCACCGAATTCAATTATGATTCTGTTTCGAATAATAAAAAAAATATGATTTCAATTATATCAGTTTGAAAACATATGCAAAGAAACGAAAAATGCTTTCAAAAGATTAAATCATACAAGGAAACTCTTCTGATTCCAATTTCTAAAAAAATTCTTATGTATTATAGACGTATTCTGGTGGACAAATCACTTACATCACTACTTCGAAGAGAAAATACGTTAATCTTTACAATATTTCAACATTAGCTACAGAATTTGATTGTATTGCTAGCTTTTAAAAATATATTTATTTAATACAAAATCGCCATCATATCTGAACATGAGGACTATATATATATATATATATATATATATATATTTAAGCAAATATATGGATATAGATCCGACAGTATGAAGAAAAATATACAGAAAAAAACAAAAATCCTATTATACAATTATGCTGTTTTAATGTTAATATAATGTCAACGTCGGACGTTTCGGTCTAGTAGACCATCATCAGGACATATTCATAAAACATAATTAACATTAGACTATATTTAATTCAACATGAAAAGACGATGGACATAAGAGTAAGACTAATCAAAACAGATAACTGAAATTTTTCAAGAATAGCGTTCCGTTTCAATATGATCACGTCGGCGTCACGTGGGTGATGTTGTGAAAACGTATTCCTAAAATAGAGTATTTTGAATGAAAAATGAAAAGAATTTTATTTTAATCTAAAACTTATATGTACGTTTGTCGAGCATTAATCTTGCTAGAAAAGGGGAAATATTAAAGAAGCCGGGTCTAGTGTTCACCGTGCGTGAGATGGATATTATGCCTGCCTCATAAATCTGTCTATTATTTTTATTATGAATATATTTTAAAATCTTCACAGAATCAAAATCGAAATTATGATCAGATTTAGTTGTATTTACAACTAAAGCATTGTTTAAATTACCGAGGCGAATATCTCGTTTATGTTCGAAAACACGAGATTTTACGGACCTACATGTTTCACCTTCACCTTTAAATCACACTTGTTGCATGAGATTTGGTAGATGCAAAGGTATAAACATCGAAAAAAAACATAATTGCATTTTTCCTCTTTTGCTATATATATATATATATATATATATATATATATATATATGTGTGTGTGTAATTCCCATCTTTTCGACTTAATTGTTACACTTGGCGACATTTTAGACATTCAAATTTCAGGAGTGTAAACAACGCTAAAATAAAGCCAATAAAATCTTATTTTCTGAATTGAAAACACATAGTTCTTGAAAATAACCGAGGAAATCGAAAGTACTTGAACAAGTGGAAACTATGAACTTCGAACATTTCATGAAAATTTTCAAATCTATATAAAAAAAATGTAGTTTTAAAATATGCTATATATATGGGTAAATGTGCCGAATATCAGGGTTAAAGCGTGTGAAAATATGAAAATAGATACTCATGACTCGTATGTATGTGTGTGCGAGAGTGTGTGTGTGCTTGTGTGTGTGTGTGCTTGTGCACGCTAATTGTAAACTTTATGCTGCCAATGCATACATACATATTTGATAAAATGACTTATATGAAAGTTACAATTAGATTATATGAAATGGAATATCTAACAACAATTTGGATGTTTCATTGAATTTTTTTTCATTTCGTTGCCAATATTTCGTTCAATAAAAACATCATCAGGACCATGGAAAATAGAAAAAAAATATTATTGCTATGGCAACCTTGCCAATTAAGAACGCATTGGTAAATTTGTGATAGATTTTAACTGTTAATAAAATTATAGACAAATATTTGTGAATAAAATAAACATATGTAGGCAAATTATTGACATTTGTGCATAGGAAAATGTGAATATAAATTATATACATGCCTATGTCCATAAAAAACTGAATACTTCAAAAATTTATAAACTTAAAATATTTTTCTCTCTGAGTCTCTGAGATAAGCAGTTATCATTATTTAAACTATTCACATTCGGACTAATTTTCCTCGTCTTTTTGTTATCAAAACGTCTCAACTGCTGTGCCCTTCGTTCTTCGTCAGGCCTATATCGATCGGGGCACCGTACAGGGAATTCCGAACGTAACACTATTACATTACTGGGTTATACGATTCTTGTTCCACTGCCCATGTCTTGGCATATCCCGTCTAGTTCTTAATTTTAGTACTGCTCGCTTATTACCCGCCTTGTTTCCACACTACCTGGCCCAAGGATTGAACTCACAATTACTATATGACCAAATTCCTAAACTAAGTCTTTATTGATTTTTACAAACATTTTGGTGCCATAAAATATTTTAGATTGTAAGAATTTGGGGGGATAATAATAATCTATTAATCCAAACCTTACTAATTAATCCATAGATGGGTGAGAGGAGTTGTATTCCTACCTTTTCCAATGGTATTTGCACGTAACGATCCCAAGTGAAATTGGACTCTATTTTCCGATTAACAATTACGAGCCATTATCTATTACACAATCCGCATATCCAAGCTTACTGCAACTGGTCTTCCCAGGCGGTCACCCATCTAGGTATTTATCAGACAACGTTGCTTAACTTCGTATATCGTACGGGAACCGGTGTTTTAACCTGATGCGTCTGTAAATCCCAAATTTTTTATCCACTATGATATAGTCCAGACATCCGGAAGAGGCATGTTATAGTTTAGACATCCGAGAGAGTCATGACATGTGGAACTAGAACAATCTCCTCCAGTTGATTAAATATAGGGTTTGATTTGAAATTCCAATCATCTGAAGAAGATCGGCGCGTACAACGTTGGGAATATGGCTATGAAGATGAGGATAACAGTCTGAATAATGTAAGTAGTGTAAGTAGTTAGGCAAGTGTCTTTAAATAGCGCCGTCGCACGCCCATTTGTAACTTTTTTCCGGGTGTTTCTTTTGAATAAAGTCTGAAAGTTTCTCTCACATTCCCAACATTTCCATTATCTCACTTGTAGGCATCGACTCGTCCACGTCACCGATATTTCCTACAAAATCCAAACCCTTGCTTCTGTGTCTGTGGTTCTTTTAGCTCCTCGATTGTCACTTCTTCGATGTGCTCCATGTCCAGGCACTTGCCTAGAGATAAAATCTCCTCCACGACTGCTGCTTCGAGTCTTCAAAATCAGACAACCTCGGGCCACGGCTTCTTCCACACCCTACCAGGCCATATCGGTAATTCTGAGGCGTGTCACGATGTTATAGTGGTCCTTTCGGAAATTTTGAGAGGTGAGGTTTTTGCTCTTAGAACTGTTAAGTAGATTTCTCGCTGCTTTTTCTACGCCTGTACCTTGTGATTGTTGTATTCTCCGCGCCATCTTTCTTCATAATGTCATTTTATTTGTATTAATGTAATAAATGGGTTCGATCATTTCTCACCTTGTGCCATTTATGAAAAGTATGTTTGGCTATTCTCATGCAAATTCCGTTTTCACAATGTCATTTTCTAGTTTTGGAGTATTTCTCATTAAGTTGTTCCTTATTTATTTACAATTGTTTCTCATATATCATTAGTTTCATCTCATTTATTCTGCTCCCCTTTTTTGACGCTATCTGCAGTGTATCTTTACCCATTACATTTTCCGATCCCTTTCTAAAACCTTCTCCATTTTCCAGATCAACATTTCCACTTTCTTAGAGGTGTCGATGGACAAAGTGTCAAAGGACAAAATAAAGAATGAAGAAAATGTCAGACAAAGTGTCGAACTGACTAAGTATCGAATGAAAAAATGTCGAATGAACAAAGTGCCGAACGGAAAAAGAGTAGAAATGAGTAAATGATGAAAGACCAGAAATTTGCCTACAATAGAGTATCTTTTACTTTGTCCTCAAGTATCCTGATGGTAAGTAATATTTATTATATTTTAGACTAATATAAAAACCTCCGATGGAAATTTTTTTTACATAATTGCTAACATGTATGCGTCGTCTTCATGTAAGACTTCGTTTCCTTCCATTTGCGTCTTGATAATTTCCATTATGAAGGGTCTGGGAAAATATAGATCCGAATTATGACGTTTAAAACATGAAGGAATAATTGGTGCTAGATGCAATCGTCAGGTCTGACGATTGCATCTAGCATAAAACAGACTGTCACCTCTAAGTGTTGACTTCTATGTTCACTTCTCTCTCTCTCTCTCTCTCTATATATATATATATATATATATATATATATATGTATGTATGTATATATATATGTGTGTGTGTGTAGGTGTGTGTATGAGTGTGTGTGTGTTTTGAAATATAAAAATTATTAAAAAATTAAAATTTTCAGACACACTGAGTATATTAATATTTTTTCGTTTTATTATTTCAGTTAGATTCCTCGACGAGTTTCGGCCAGCATGGCCATCATCAGGACAAAAAATTCTCCTTGTTAGTATCAGTGAATTACAGGAATGAATGACTTGACGAAGAAAATGAACTTTATCTGTAGTTTTCATTTGTTTTTTTTTTAATTTTTTTTCATAAATTTTGATTAGTCCTTGTGTTTGTCAAACAGTCTCTTTTAAGTGGCTATTTGGGATAAAGGCTGTATGGATTCATGCTGCTCTGAATTCCCATATCCATTTTGATAGTTTTATTGCTTCCTGGAAAGGCGATGTATCTGCGTTAAGTGCATTTTATTTAGTTTTTAGGGAATGAATTAGTATGATGTATGTAAGTGTGTATATTAGTATGTGTGTGTGTGTTATCATTTAATTTTTTAGGGAGTGAGTGCATATGATGTGTATAAGTCTGTATATTAGTATGGGTGTATGTATAAGTGTGAGGCCTCAACACCTCTGCAAGCATGTCTATCTTGTGTGGGTGAGAAATTTGGTTGGTGCCTGATTTGTGGAGTTATCTATTAATTCTATCTATGTTGTTAAATTTGTGATTAAGCCCGTCTGGATGGAGTGTTTTGTGGCGCAGAGTTCATTTATCTTCATAGTCTTCTAAAATTTTTCAGAGGTTATCTGATCTGAATTTTGCTATTTTCTCAATTATAGTGGATTAGGCATGAGTTTTCAAATCGTGTTTTTGTAAGCGGAAATGTCGTTCTACTGGTAATAATAATTCGTGGCGAGCCGACTTAATTCGATTGCGCTAATCATTAATTCTGTAGTGAAAAGGCCATTAAGATTTTCCCACATATTGTTTCTGGCATAGTGTGCATTCTAGGAGGTAAATTATGTTCTGACTTCTAAGGTTAGGGCCGTGCTAGATTTTGAAAGTAGATTTAGTGACTGAGCAAGTGAACAAATTGGTGCGTCTAAAGTGGTTACAGTATAAGCTCCATTTGTTGTTAAATGGTTGGAAAAATCCTGTTGTTTTTTTTGGGTTTATTACGGATTACCTTATCCTCTAAAATGTGGTTACTACATATAATTTCCTTTAGATTTTAGGGCTACTATATGATAGAAGGGCAAGTTCCTCAAACAAATTTTTGGTCTGGTTTGCGATGTAGTATTTCCCAGCGATATTTTGATTATCTGGGATAGTGGCGGCAGAGTGTGGTGGAAAGTGGTTACTAGAGGGATACGTCTGGATGTATTTTTAATCTTGTAAATTGGGGCGTCTTCTCTAGGTGGGGAAATTGCTTTATTTATTTGTTCCTTGATAAGGTGTTGTTTATAGCCACGTGTTGTGAATTGATTCTCGAGATTTTGAGTGTGTTGTTTTAATTCTTCATTGATGGAACATATCCTTCTGTGTCTAAGTGCTTGTGAATATGGAAGGTTATCCTTAAGGTATGAAAAGACTCTCAATTCAATTTGTTAAAAGATAGAGCGTAATAAACGACCTCTCCTTCAAATCGGACCGCTAACCGATTATTAAAGAGGTTTAAGCCCTTTTAAGGCTATGATTTATTAAATAATGCCACAGCTAAGTAATAAAATGCTTAGAATAATCTAATTGATTATTTTAACTATGTTTTTAAAATCATGACGTTATGTTCGTTTTTACTTTGTTTAATATTTTTTCCTTTTGAAACTTTGTTTTTTCGATATTATGTCCATTCGTCTTTCCTTAGTTCGACAATTTTTTTCCTTGGTTCTTTCTCCATTCGACATTTTGTTCGTTCAATAATTAGTCCATTCGACATTTTCTCGATTCGTCATTTCGTCTTTCGATATTTTTCCTTGTACATTGAGCTACTACCACATTTCCACATCTGAACTTAGTGAAGCAATTAGTAATATTACATTCAGATATTGCACCATCTCCATAAATGGTACATATTTTTAGCCGTTTGTACAGCAACTGTTTTCCAACCTGGAAATAAAAGAGCATAAAATAACGAAAATGCAGCTTATTTTCCACAATTTTCATTTTTAATGTAAACACCTTTAAAATTCACAATCCACACACGAATCGTACAGAAAGTCACGTCGAAATGACTCACATATTTCAGGCACGTGAGAAACGAACTTACGCGTTCAAAACTTTTGGAAACGTTACGAAATTTTTAATCTCGGACAAACGTTCTCAGATGATATGAACTGGAAAAACTATATTGAATCCATTGCTAAGAAAATTTGTTCACTGTGTCTTTTTGTCTGATAATAGATCTTATCTCTAACAATAGATCTTATCTATAAATCTACCATTCGTCGATGCTTAGAATATTGATGCTACATTTGGTCTAGTGCTATTTACCTTGATAAATCCAAAGAAGTATCAGCATTATTATTAATCCTGATCTGGCGGCTCGGTTTCAGTCAATTCCCATCGACTTAAGGTTGCCAATCTTTGTCATTTCTATAAATGCTTTCATGGTGATTGTTCGAATGATCTCTTCGCTATGGTACCTACACTTTTTGTAAAAAAATTAAGCGCAGTACGTGACTGGCGTCGAGATCTCATCAATTTACAGTTGATCTGGCGAGATGTAGCCGTAAATTCTAGGGTAAAAGTTTTTTTTTTCTCGCACATCTCCCTTGCCGAACTTCTTTCCGGCTCCATGCTTTCCAGCCAACTTTAATATGCACAGGTTCAAATGCATTATTACTCACTATCTACTGTCCTGCTGATTGCTATTTTCTCTTACCGCTCATGATTAATGTTTCTGTTCATAATTCCTCCACACACTATAACACCTCGTGTCTTAGTGCTTTTACTGTCTTGCATAGGGTAATACTGATTAAAAAAAAACAATACTAATTTGCCCGACAAATTCCATCCTATGTAGTAATATAGAGGTATATATTGGCTCGTGCACATATACTTTTTTTAGCTTATATCATAGTGTACATGCATAGAATATATGAAGTTGTATGTATACATTTGTGTCCGATAATATTATGTTTCTTAGGGTTTTAGGCATTTGAATTATGTGTTGTATTATATACGTGTACATGCCTGAGTATGAACTTATCTGATTCAACTTGTATATGTTATGGGGTGTTTTTATGCGCACAAATATATTTCTGTATATTTATGCATTCCTTTCTCATTTAGATTCCCAAACCACATTAGCTTTTGTGTTTTCCGGGCATTTCCTATTGATTGTGAACTTTCTCTTTGAATGTGCGCCTATCGATCGAAGGAAAGTCCTGAAAATAGATAGCAAACTCAGGCCCGTGTCTGGCGTCCTTAGAA